GAAAAAGGAGTTCATAAGGAGCTTTCGCTTTGCCTCTCCCATTGGCCCAATCAGATTTTTATCCAATAAAATCTTTAATGAGGTGAGTCAGTGAGTCACTCCCTCTACATCACCTTGTGACAGCAGACACAAATTCGATCCGTCACACCATGTTTTCACACAAATTAAAACAAACTGAATCATGTTGCATCAGCCATGGCAGTGAAGTAAAGGTTTACATTTTTTTCTATCAGAGATAGAATTAAATGGTCAAATTAGCCTGTCTGAGGTTGTCTAAAATGTAATATAACACTGAAATGCTCAATTAAAATGTGCAGCATACACCTGTGACCAGTGATAGCAGTAAACAAATTTCATCTCATTCTCATCATAAGGCAAATGACAACTACATTTTAAGACCATTTGTCATGAAAACAGAATCTATTATAGTAATTATTAAATGCATACTTTAATTGCATATGACACTACCGCTGGTTGTGTTGACCTGCATCAACTCAGCATAGATAAAAGGAACACAGGAAAAACCATGGCTAACACTTCAGCATGCTAGTTCTGTAAATAGTGTTATGTTTTTATGCAAGTTAACTATTGTTTGTTTGTTTTCATAGCCCTACTTTTTAAGAACATATATTCTCAATAAAAAAAATATTAGCAAGTGTCCTACAACAGAGCGCAGCTTTAATGTAGCATACAAAAATATTTGACATGGGCAGTTCCCACACCATTATGCTTGTATCCGTGAGCTGGTTAACTTAAGTAATAATTTGGAATTACATTATTGCCCACCACCTCCTTTCCATTCAGCTATGTACTGTACTGGGATGCTAGTTAATGGAGCAGACAGACAGTAAACACACACCCACACTTTGGAGATTGTTTATAACAATAACAATTACGTGAAAATACTTTTGGCATTAAGCCACATTGATAACCATCAAATCACTACTCTGTGGAGTATCATTTCATTTTCATTCACTGATCCCCTGCTTCCGTCATGTTCCCCACTAATCCCTCCACAGCTGAGCTAGCAATACAATGTTTTCGTCTCAGCACTGCATCAAATACCTCGTCCAGGATTTGAGCCAGCAGCCTTTTTGAGAAGTGAGACCTCTCTCATATCATCACTTATCACCCCATAGCAGTCTCACCAGCTCACAGGGTTTCTATCGTACACCACCATGGGGAATCTGGTGTGAAAATGAGACACACTTTGTTACTGTGTTATCTTCTACTCTCTCCCTCTACAGTGACACACGCTAAACAAACTGCCTTTAATTGTTATATTTATTCTCTTAAAATCTAAAAAAGGTTTTTCGGGAGAAGAAAGTCCGATTCCTATCTGTTTTACTCACTGTACTCCAAAAGCTGACCCTCAAACTTTTGTTTCCCTCATCTCTTGCCACCACCTGCAATCTGTCCAGCACTGAGCCATTCTCTTTGTGCCCTCTTCTCCTTTTCATCCCCATCAAAAAGAAGGATGGCAAAGTTACTCCGTCAGCAGCAGGCGGATGGAGAGCCAGCAGAAAATAGAAAAATAAAAAGCCAGAGTGGCTGGACGGGAAGGAAAGTGGGTTAAGAGGGGCGTGATGGATGAGACTGGGAGCTTTCCTGACTCATGGCCTGCTTTCTCTGGTGACTAATGTGGTCAGTGACATCTCTCTCCCTACCCCTCAGCCACCCCCACCATCTCTACATCCCACCTGGGATTCTGGTAGCCAGCCCGGGGCAGAACGGCACACAGGATCTCACCCCACTTACCACATCTGCATCACCAAGTTCCAGCTTAGACAGCCTGGGTTGTGTGTGGTGCCGAGGTGGGAGCTACAACAGGCCTTGGGGTCAACCAAAGCACGCCTCCCTGTCTTATTTACTGCTAAAGCTCTGGAAGGGATGTGTGCACTGAAAAGTAGTCAGATCCTGCGGGAGGACAAGATAAGAGCTGTATATTTATCTCTCCCCGCTTATGTTTTTAAGACTTCTATCACAGGCCTTTAATCCATTGCTTCCTTTTATATGCGACCTCATTTTTGGGTTGCTTGCATGTTTGAGTCTGTAGACTGACAGCGGCCTTTTGGTACAATAGGATATTAGCTAGTCAGTGTTATTTGCCGTCAATATATTGGATTTCAAGGCTTGTTGTAATTGCTGTCTACCCCTGCATTCATGTGTGTTTTTTTAAATATTGTGAATCATAATATGCAATTATGTTGTCTAGATTAAACTTTTTTTCAAAGTAATTACTATGTAAGATTGGACATGTAATTTACAGATTAATTTCTTATCATGCAGTCCATTGTGCAGAACATAAACTACACAAATTGACAATTACAATGCAATTACCTAGAAAGGTCTTTTATTATCTCTTGTCATCTCTTGTCTTGTCATATCTCTTTTCTTTTGTAGAATTTCAATCCCAATAAATGCAGTTTGATTATGTTGTTGATGAAGGATTATAACCTACATATTTTAATGTTTGTTGGTCTAGTTTTTTCACACGGATAAATGGTCAAATTTAAAGCAAATCACTATGTCTTTATTTTTGGGTATAAATATGAAATAAGTGAATAAATAATACATTTTCTAACTCAAAAATCTATAACGTACAAAAAGATACACTAACCAATTTTTTTTACATTGTTGGACATTTATTTTTTCTTTCAGCAGGGAGCATAGAGGAATAGACAGGTGTTATGTTGGCGAGCCAATAGCTTGTGCATATGATAGAGGTCACCTTTGCAGCAGCCTCAAACACGTATCAGGTGTTGAATGTAATTGATTTTCTGAGGTCTGTTGTTGCAGAGTCCCAGCATAGCTTGGAAAAAGTATAGTGACATTCAACTGGTCACCTGACACTGTGTATACACTGTGTAAATATAAACTTCAAAATATAGGTCAAAACCCACATCCACATCGTTTGAACTTTAAGTGTGCAAAATCATCTCGTACAAGACTATAGTGTCTCATTAGCAAGTTCAGTGTGAAGTGGGAAGTGAGGAGCGACACCGACCGACCATTGTCGACCAATCACAGCCACTCTCTTTGATGATACATACCAGTTGGCCAGTGAATTGTGCTTTACAGATGGTTGTCTATAAGTGTACATGGCCACATAAGGTGCAACACACACAAACACACATAAAGATGCGCCCTGACACGCATACACTGAAGCCTGCTCATTACTATGATAAGTGTCTGCTCTGCCCCCTTGGTTGTTTTCATTTTATTTTCATTTCAAAGAACACCAGGACCAGCAGCTGCCAGCTACAGATCTGAAGTGTGGTCAGATGTGTCAGTGCGCGTGTGTGTGTGTGTGCTGCACTGGACTTTGCCTCTGCCCTTTCCAGCTATCAATGCTGAGGATGGTGTGTGTGTGTGTGTGTGTGTGTGTGTGTGTGTGTGTGTGTGTGTGTGCGTGTGAGCAGAGACTCTTTGATGGAGGATGATGCAGTGCATAACAGTCAGGCTGGCCTTTTGAGTAGCCAGTTTATCTGGTACTATCTGACGCAACTCTCTCTAGTACTTGAACACAAGCACATGTATATTTCAACCTGTATATTTCAGAAGAACTTGAACTCTGAACTTGTGTGCCACACGTCTTAAATCTGCTTGTTGGCCACACCCATCCAAATGTGACATAAATAGAAAAATACTTTATAGTTTTGGGAAAATGGCTTCTGCATTTAAATGTTTGAGTTTTGTGTTAAATGAAGAGACAGAAGCATAGCGATCCACGAGTACCCGGGTTGAGTCTCTTTCTAGCTTTTACTGTCTCAATTCTGTCTCAATGGATTATTCAGAGGATCAAGTGTGAGTCAGGCAAGGATTTGAAGAGTTAAGCACATGGATAATTATTCTCTTTCTCCTTAAATTGGGCCAAGGAGGGCCCGCTACTTAATAAACTTGCTCCATGCTTCGCACTGTGTGTTTAACACTAACAATTACACGTGTCACAAGCATCCAACGGCTTTTATACTGCTCTTAGCAAGATTTAGAGAAAGACATGAGACGCTCTAGAGATCAGTCACGTGTTTCTGCCCCCATCCACAGGTGGGCAACACAGTTTGAGCTGAGATCTGGACATTTGTGTGTGTGTGTGTGTGTGTGTGTGTGTGTGTGTGTGTGTGTGTGTGTGCGTGTGTGGCCATCTGATATAATCTCACACCTCAGCATGCACTTGGCCTGACCTGGGTGCTGGCAGAGGACATGCATCTCAAAATATGCTTATTCTCTCCCCCACAGTCCCATCCACTCCCTCTCCCTTTACTGTCGCATGCGCTCGCACATACAAACACGCTCAGAGAACAGGTAACAGTGCGTAGTTGACTTTTCCTGAGGCACCTTTATGCCCTTTGCCTTTTTTTTATTGCCATGCAACCCTTCCACAGAACAGATGCACAGCAGAAATGCAAAGACGACCTCTGACATGTTTGTCCCTACACAGCTTTATTAATAGAAGCAATTGGTTTCCCATTTCTCCAGAAATGTTGTTAAAAATCCCAGTCGAACCTAAATAGACTACTCATATAAATTCCAGTTACTGGCAATCTTGCCAACTGAAAAAAAAAAAGATGAAAATGTGTATTTAGGTCACATTACAATCACTCTCCTGCAGATGTAATGTGCATCATCTTGTCTATATAATCTGAATATATCATTCCCTTTAGACAGTTAATGAGATTGAATGAAGTAGGAGATGGCATGATACTGTAAACTGCAAGCGCATCTTGGCATTGCTTAGCTTAAAAAGGTGAGAGTATAAAAGAAGAAACCCAAATCTTCCCAGCTAATCTAGTGCACATTGCATCCACAATAGGTCTATAAATTGTAACAATAAAGACAAATTCAGATGACTGCACCCAGTTTCAGCTCATCAACCGATCATCCCGCTCTGCTATTAAGTGCATTACTCACATTGGCGCTATCACTCACCGAAAACTGAGCGCTGCGAGCCGTGCAATTCAAAATAAATAATTAAAAAAAAGGAATCAAGAGACACTTACCACTTTACAGCAAGGAGCGACGAAGGCAAGGTGCGGGGTCGGAAGTTGTCAAATGATTGTTTGCTTGTGTCGTATCTGTAAGAATGTCATCGTTTGGGTTTTATTTTTGCTGTGCTGGCGTGCAGACGGCGGTGTGATGGACGGTTTCTCCACTGAGTGCTGCTGGTCACACGGCATCCAAGGAGCGGTGAGAGACGCGCTGCTGTGGAGAGAGGAGAGGAGGAGAGGAGGAGAAGGAGGGAGGGAGGGAGAGAGAGAGGGAGAGATTAGGACTGGGTTTGCTTTGAGGTGCGCGGCAAACAGCGACCACGTGTGGCCATAAGAGGGACCGTTTGAATAGGCACTGTAGTTGTGTCCTGCATGTGGGTGAGATGGAGATCAAGATGCGAGTTACACTGGTTCACGTGCCATACAGGTGCGTGGCTTAATAGACCGATTTCACAGCAGCCATTTTGTCATGAAACAATGGTGGTAAACACATTCAGTTATTAATTAGTATCATTGGGACCACCTGTGTTTAACATACTAGTTAATGTCGAAATGGCTCCTGTGGAAGAGGCCTATTAACCCACTCGTTGGTCAAACACACATTTATCTGTAATTTTGCATCTTGTAGCCTTGATATATGAAAAGCAGCGTAGGCAAGCTAAAATTGGGTTGAAAAGGAATCATTCCACATTTTAAGAGACAGCTTTATAGAGCTTTATTGTTTAGTTATGTGGCTCCAAACTTGTTGGTTCTCTGCTCTCATAGTGGCGTTTTTCAGCCGCAGTGTTTTTAGAAAAAAAAAAAAAAAAACCTGACTCAGCACCAGAAATAAAGTTAGAATATGGTGAACTTTGAACATTTAGCAGTTAAACAGTAAGATAATAAGAATGAGTATCAGACTTACATTCCCCGGTGGTCAGAAACATGACTCCCAGTGTGTGATAATGTTGCTCCAAAACTGCTGCATGTGTAAACAAGCAACCGTTTGCTAACATGCTGTATCCATATCAACTTCAAAGGTGATACAGTCTCCTGTATGACAGTGTTGTGTTTACAGCTTGTTTCTGCTGCCGCCGAGTGGCAAAAAACAAACATGTATTTGAGAATATTTACTTTAATCATATCTTGTTTGTTTTATCCGTATAAAGAACAAAGTGGAAGGGGAAAGGGGAATATGTTGTGTGCTGTGAATAGTCCCTGGAAACTTCATGGTGATAAGACTCCAGAAATCACTGCGCCCAGCCAAGAAATAGTCCGGCACATTATCCACATTAGTGCTTGGATAGGGATTTTTTTTTTTACCCTTGGAAAAAGCCGGACTACTTTACTTACTTACTGTTTTTCCAGTCTTTGTGCTAAGCTAAGCTAACAGTCTCCTGGCTGTTTAGTTTCATATGTAATAGATAAGTAAGGGAGTGATAATCTTCTCATCTAAATATTAAAAAGAAAATGCCAAACTCCTTAAAGTTGCTGCTCTTACGGGCCCTATTTATTTCAGCTGATCTATTCCAGTCAGCTTTACTGTGCCTATCTCTAAGCAAACTAATGAAATCACCGCTGAAACACAAAGGTCTAGGGCCCTAGGGTAGTTGCCCACTTTGCACAGGTGGTAATCCAGCTTTGCAGAAGTGAAGAATACTTTTGTTCTGCAACCAAGAGTGATTAAAGAAACACTGTTACAGAGCTTTGTGGATAGGATATGTCATTTTAAGGTGTTTTTCCATTTCTGTATTTTATAAAACATCATCCACCACTGCACGACATCACCACACTAAAGTAGTGAAGCTTTAAAGGAAAAATCAAAGCAGATATTATGTTCATTGTAACTGTAATTTGTATTAAATAAGGAAAAACATTCAAAACAGTCTTTTGCAGTTTAATATAGAATCAAATACTTAAAAACTGTGTTCACTATGTTTTCCTATAAGCTGAGGGAGCAGGCTGCGCTGTCTGCATACACAGATGAAATGAATGTAATGAATCTAACATCATTTTCTGCCCAGCCTCTTAGTGCCATTCCAGTTCAAATGATCCAAGCTTAGCCGACCCTGGTCTCAAATACAGTCCATATATTCTCTGTACTGACAGTATTTACTCACTACAGTGTGTTATTACTCAGTTTGCGATGTGTGCACTGATCCTAATATGAACCCATAAACATCTGCAGCACAGAAACCCGGATCCCTAACCCTGCAGGTGAAATATGTGCCACTCAGTCACCCATGCGGCAAGCCATTCAGATAGGCATAAATCACAGGCCTTGAATCGATGCCCTGTTTCCCATAGGCGAATCGCCGTGGCACAACACAATCAATTCTTGTTCTCTGCTGCAACAGTAAGAAGGGTCGACTCGGAATCGGCCACCATCTAACATTAATACCAGCACTGAATCCGAATCAGCTCATTGGCATTCTGTATTGAGAGGGGATTCAAGCGGTGGCAAGAGCATCTGTTGCTGTCATCAGCTGATGTAGCGACCACAATTGCTGTGTAATAGCAATGAAAATGTGCTTTTAGGTAGTGTGTGTCAATTAAAAAGAGGAATTTTAATCGCTGCAGGTATAACTCATAACTCAAAGGATTGATCCGTTCAGAGCTCTGAAACACATACATGGTTACAGTATACAGTCTAAACAGGGAATTAACAAGACCGACAACCCCTATTGCCCCTATGGATACGTGTGTTAAATGTATTAGAGCACCATATACTGTGTATGTCTGCCCCATGTTGCTGGAGTCAGGTCACAGTCAATTGAATCACAGCACACATCGTGGTCATGTGACCGGGTTTGTGTAAGATATGATTTCACAGCAGGGTGGGGCAGGTTGGGGATTAAAGCATGAGCATGAGGAGGAGGAGGAGGAGTGTGTGTGGTACATGAAAAGTGTGTATGAGTGCATTTGTGTGTTCATAGCACTAAAATGTCATCCCTCAAGCTCCAGGCTCCCTCTGGGGAATACTGAACAATCCCCAATAGGGAAGGAGAAGGAAATGACTGTATCCATAAATGATATTCCTCACTATAACACACAGGTCAAATTAGTGAAATTGAATAATTTCCTTAATATGATATAATTGCATTTTGCGCCATAACCTTATACGGATCTTAATGTACTCCAGAGTGATTAAATGTCTCCAATAAAAACATTCAGCATCGGTCTGTGTGTGTGCAGGAATCTGCAGACTCATCTCTCATCTTTAATATTGCTCTGATCTCAGTCTGTGCAGCTCATGCATACATTACATAAACACAGGCAGGCTGGCAATGTGATGCTGCACCAGTTAGTGATTAAATCTGCTCATTTGCTGTTGGGGGAAACAAGACGTGCAAATGCCCATATTTCTCATTTAAATGTATTTAAGAGTCACCGGATGCCAATTTAAACAAGTTTCACTGAAAGGAGCGCACAAGTGCCTTTTCATAAAATACTCTGTTTCAATCGTTCATTAATCTGTTGAATTATTTATGTGTTATCTGCTAGCAGGGGGTGGGTGGGAGGTTACTGCTGACAGAAAGAGAAGGAGAGGAAGATACTATTTTGCACCCTGTTGCTGGCAGTCAGTGGTGGGTATACTCAGAGCCTTTAGGTTAAAGTACTACTACTACACTGTTAAACAAAAAAAAAAAAAATCCCTTTTCCCTCTGAAAAGCAGTGGAAGTATAAAGTGGCATGAAATGGAAACCTCAGATTTGTACTTGAATAAATCTGCATTACACCACTGCTTGCAGTTAATGCTGTGTTGCCATTTATAAGCATGTATACAATTATATTAGCAATATGCTACACGCCTTTGACGTGGCAATGAGATACTGACTTGAGATCATTTCATCCACACAAATTCACAATAAGACACACACAGGGAGTTCCAGCTCAGTTTCACCTCTTGCCGATATCACAAACTCCCTGTCAGCTGAAAATATGCTCCAGTCAGCAGAGCTGTAGGCCCTATAGCAGCAGAATAGCTTATTGCTGTCTCTTTGTCACTGTATCCCTCTTCTTGTGGTCCCACCGGGTGCTCAACACCTGATGAATACGTATTGAATAACTCAATCACTCATTGTCATCCATGCACTACCACATTTTGCTCTCCTTTGGAGGACATTGGCCTACAAGCTGGTGTGGATGGATGGTTTTAGACTTCAGTTGTTTCAATATTGTGTCACATTACAATCTGAGTAGCATAAACAGAGGGAGAATAATATCCTGAGATACCAAACTGCAGCTTCTTTTCAAGTTAGTCCTATATTACATAGCTATTAACACTTGCTTAGTATCTGTGTGCTTTTAAAAGGCTGGCTTGTATTCTGACACCCTCTCCTGGTTCAGTTGTGAAATTACAACTTTTATAAACGCAGGTTAGTTGATTTAAGATTACAGTATGTGAAATTCTCCCATGAAGCATTGAGTGAAATATGACATTATGTCTGAATTGTTGTAGGTTTCCAACCAAGTTCAAGGTATGTTTTTTTTTTATTGTTTTGTTTTAAGTTAGTTTACATGATGAGTGTTTGATCACATAATCATGCAAAAAAGAAACTTTGCTGATCAACTGATCAGTCTCAACAAATGGTAAAATGTGAAACAGGCAAACTGATTTCAGTACAGCCTAAGCTGAAGGACATTCAATCATCTCAAAAATAGCACTCTATAGGACAGAAGGTAAAAACAGGTAGTGTATTTGCACAGCTGTACGTACAGCATACGTTGCTTATACACAAAAATCTTAAATGGCGAGTTTTCCTGCTGATTGATCTGAAGTATCTGAACATGAGCCATATCTTAAAAAAATAGTACAATGACTTTAGTTTAAATAGAAGCGCTATACAGGAGAAAGTCTTTACTTTGTATAAATTATCTCTTTATTTCAAAAATCTTGCAACCCTTGCGTCCCACAGCATCATACCATCAGCATGTCAGCTGGGGGAGGCTTTAAAGGGATCTGGCCTAGAATGAACCTCTTAGCCTTGAACTGATTCAGTTCCTCTGGAGTCAGTTTGCTCTCAGGTGAAAACAGACTGTCCGATGCCCCACTGGCAGACCCGCCTCCTGCTGCAGGTGGAGCAGCAGTTGCTCCAAACCCTGTCTGTCCAAAAATGCTGCTGTTTCCTGGTGCAGCAGGAGCCCCGAACCCGGTTCCGAATCCTCCTCCGGTGCTTGCTGTCGAGGAGAAATCAAACCCTGAGGCAGCGCCAAATCCTGAAGTGGCTGCGGGTGCATTGGCGTTCGAAGCAGCGAACGAGAAAGAGGAAGAAGAAGCTGCAGAGGAGGAACCAAACCCAAAGGAAGGTTGTGTAGGAGCTGCTGAGGCATTGCCAAAACCTGTGGCGGATGATGGTGCCGCTGAGGAACCAAATCCACCACTTGGAGCAGCAAAGCTGAAAGCGCTGGCCTGGGCTGGTGCTGGTGCCCCAAAGCCTACAGAAAGATTTAGAATGAACACATGAGCAAAGGCTAGTCTGGATTGGATTGCCTGATCAGCGTATTCAATACAATAAAAAGCTACTGTTGTGTTTTGTTCTATAAATCTACAATTACAATTTAAATTCAGATGCATTCATGTCCTTGACTTCACACCAAATAAGCCACTTGACTGAGCTCATGCTACATGTAGTAAAAATCATCTATTCAAGAACTGTATTCATGAGACACTACAAAAGCAACAGTCAGATGATGCCACTCTCATATCTGTCTGTTAAATAAGATGCTACAGTCAGCAGTTGGCCAGCTTAGCTTAGCACAAACAGCTAGCCTCACGAAAAGGAAACAAAATGCAAACAAAATCCACCTACCAGCCCATCTAAAGTGCACTAAATAGAACATTAATTTTAATCTGTACAAAAGTTGAAATGTAAAAAACGTAAAATTCTGGTTTTACAAGGAGTTATTTGTCTGACTATTTCTTGGCTGGGAGCAGTTACTTTCTTTGGTCCTTTACAAGTAAATAAATAAAAGCATTGCCCAAAATGTTGAACCTTTGCTTCACCCATCAACTGTGAAAATGAAGAAACACTTAATCTTCACCTTTGCTTTCAAAGCTGGATGTAGATGATCCAAATCCGGTCGCTGTTGTTGAATCAAAGCCACTTGAAGATGACTGAGGTGCTGGGTTGCTTAACTCTGCAAGCTGCAAGGAAAGTAAATATAGTAAATATCACATCATGTTGACTTTATCTATAGAAAGTCCTTCATCAAAATAGATGGGAGTGCTGTTACCGTAACTCTGTGTGTGTGTGTGTGTGTGTGTGTGTGTGTGTGTGTGTGTGTCTCTCTCACCACAGCTGCCCGAGTGGCGGGACCCATAACTTTCAGTTCCTGGACTCTGTTTCTCCACTGGTTGAGCAACTGATTGATACCATTAATCTGAACACAAGTAACAAGAGTGCCTTAGACTCATACACATTTTAAAATGCTTGCTGTTTAAAAAAACAAAAACACACTAAACTAAGATCATGTGACAACAATTGCAATATCACCTATCACCGTCAAGACTCTTCAGAACATCTTTACTTTCTAATTGGTATGAAGAAGACAAAGTGACATTAATGAGTGACACTTACATAGCCCTGCTGATCTCCTGAAGCACTAGTGGAGTAGAACTCTAGTCTGAGCTCTTCTGGAGAGAGATCAGTGAAACCTGTAGAAAACAAGTATCAAACATCTTCAGGCCTAGTGTCTTGAGTATTGGTATACTAAACCCATCATTTACAGCTAATGCTGGGACTACAAATAACAACAGAACATGTAAATAAATGTACATTTGATACAGACCAGACAAAGATGTCTTGGCACTAGAATAACACGAGAAGCCCCACTGCCCCGAACTCTCCCATATGTCCATGTCCATCTGAATGATCTCCCTGTGTGGATCGAGAGACAGACGTCACATGAATTAATTCCTTATGACAACATTCATATTAATGCCGCACAACAAAGCAACAGCAGACTTACAGTTTTTTGTCATCATCTTCATCACCAGCTGTCACCTGCTGTCCTCCTCCTCGTCCTCCCCTGTCAAAGGTGCTGGGGGTATCAAGCACTGAGAATCTGTTTTGAGCGGAGAAGCTGAATTCGGAGCTCTTCACGTTCTCTCTTCTCCCTCCACCTCCACCTCCTCCTCTGCCCCAGTCATTCCCCCCCCTCCTCCTCCTCCTCCTCTGCCCCAGTCATTCCCCCCTCCTCCTCCTCCTCCTCCTCCTCTGCCCCAGTCATTCCCACCTCCACCTCCACCTCTGCCCCAGTCATTCCCCGCTCCTCCTCCTCCTCCTCTACCCCAGTCAGATCCTCCGCCACCGCCTCCTCCTCCTCCACCTCCTCCTCCTCCTCTTCGGCCCCAGTCATCACTGCCATGTGAAGAGAAGGATGACGGCTGGATATATCCTCCTTTTTGCTGGGAAGGATTCACCCAAACTCTGTTTCCGTACCCTGAAACCAACATGCACACAGATACCAGTCAATGTCGAGACTGTCCGGACAAAAAGAGCCCTTCTCTGGGGAGGGCTTTTATGAGTGTGTGTTAAGTGTTATCACAATTGAGGGTCTAAGTTTTATTGGCATATATGTATAAATAAATCTGACCTGACCTACAGTCCCTCATACTGTAACACCAACATTACCAAACGATGTAAACTCTGTTTTTAAAGGCTCTATATAAATTAAGTTATTATTATTATTATAGCAAATATACTCATATTTTGCATTAATTTGAATTTTGATGACAGTAAATGCAACGTCCACAACACCGTTTGACTGTTTCAACTTTTCTTTAGATAGACTAACTGTACCTTACATACTGTCTAGTACGTATTATTTGTATAATGGCGATTAAATTAATAACACTCAATCACAAACATATTCAGTCTAACACAACAGCCCTGCAACAAATCCTAACGTAACGACGGCTGTGATGTTCACTTTATTTAAAACAGCTTTACAGAGATGTTTGGAGGGTGTACCGTTAGTTTGTGGCGTTGTTATTACTGAGGGTTATATTTTAAATGAGTTAAGATGAAGTTCAAACTAAATACCGTCGACTGTCGTTAGCTAGTTAACGTTACCGCCACAGTTCTGCCGGTAGGTTAGTTACCGGTAGTTACCGGTAGTTACCGGTAGTTACCGGTCGCTACCGGTAGTCAGGTAACCAGAAACAGAGTCAACGCAAAGTTCTCCAAACAAGAGACCAGCTACAGAAACACTTTGTGTTTAAGTTAGGATATATTTCTCCAGGACGTTACCTCCTCCTCCTCCTCCTCCTCCTCCTCTAGGCTGCTGCTGGGAAGAGCGGTTGTAGTCGTTGTTGTATCCTCCTCCTCCTCCTCCTCCTCCTCCTCCTCCTCCTCCTCTGTTTCCTCCTCTCGGGTGCTCATTCCAACATTTATCGCCGTAACGACAACGGCCCTGAAGAAAGAAATTACACACTGTCATTTCCACACGGTGTTGGTTGCTTCAGTGCAACTCCCAAACATCAGCCGCGCTGCTCGGACCCGGCGAAGTATTTGTGCGACTCACGGAGCGGCATAAATGAATGTCGCAGGAGATTTACGTCATCGCTACCTACCGGTGACAACAGCGACCCCGTGTGGTAGGTGAGGTAATTGTCAGGTTTTTTTTCATGGCGGTCACATCTGGTTCACATTAGAAAACACATACTGAACATTCATTGAGCATTTCCTCTGTAGGCCACAGAGTTTTTAGGAGCAGGAGTTTCGTTTCATCAGATCTCTGCTTCTTTCTATGGCCTTTATTTTTTCAAAATAATAGTCTTGAGTCTCCCCATCTAGGCTAGCTATAGATTACAAATCCAAAAAAGGAAAAGTCTTTGAGGAAAATAAGGAATTTCATCAGTGCATGGACAGATTCATTTGCGTTCACCACCACCTCTGCTGTCTTACTGGTATATTTGATCTGAGGCAAGAAAACAAAAACGCTTCGTGGCCCCAGACAAATTGTTATTTTTCTCTTTTTGTCCAACAATGCTCTTCTGATGGTAAAGGTTGCTGACCTTTGGACTAGTGCTAGTGCTGTAATTGTACAGGTCGGAAAACAGTATTACTAACACGTGCTTCAACCTTAATTCAACCGCCTGCACTCCCACACATGTGTTTGCAATCATTCTGGCTGATTAGACTTGTTAAATTGGGCAGAGGAATGCTGGAAGTCATCAACCTGTTTGTTACACTAGAGGTAAAAGTTATGTAGTCTACTGTAGATGTAAAAAGATACAAGTTGAATTTGAGGGCAATTATGGTTGTTGTTTGTTTATTTTCTTTGTGGTCATCAACAATAACAGGCAACAGTGTATCTTCTCTTCATCTTATCATTTACAATAATACAATATAAATTCAGTGAAAGTAATTAAATGAATATTTAATTGTTTATCACAGGTGTTAAACTCAAAAGTAAACAATTTCCTTTAATATTTCCAACAAAGATGAATATAACTCCCTAGTTTGAATCTTTGGGAGATACTGTTCATGCAATGTAAAAATAAAAAAAAAGCTTTATTTGCCATTTCTGTAAGACAATTTGATGGAGCAAATGACACACACAGAGACTTATATGCAAAGATTTTTCAAAATGTATTAATATAGTATAATGTTTTTTTCCCACCAACAATAAATTATAATGTAAACTGAAAGTGAGTAAGGCCATGGCAAAGGCAGCTTCATAAAATGCTCATGTTCAAATACACATAATCTAAATATAAAAATGTCAATACTGCATATTAATGTAATATAGCTTTTTGGTATTCAATGCCAGAATTTCAGGGGAATGTTATATATACATAATATATAGTTTTCTCGATAAATAAAATATATTTTGATTAGGAGCAGTAACAGCAATAAAATGCATTTTCATTCAAAATAAAAACCCTGGCAAGAATAGGCATGCAACACAGCTTTCAGCATACCGCATAAATGAAGAAATTATATCAACTTTGTGTACCATTGGCATGCATAAATAAATAATAAATTGTACACTTTGTTGTAAATCGAAAAACTTAAATTCTACTACATGTATTACTGTGCATGTAAATATTTCATTTTAGTGGGTTGAGGTCCAGGGGGCACTGGAGTACTTCATGACACATTTTCATTGTGAGCTAAAAATGAGTAAATAAGAATATTGAACTGGATTTATACAAAACAATAAGAATTTGTAGGATAGATTATGTAAGGTGCCTGATCAAGACTCCTTAATACTACTCTTTAATAGTTTAAGTGCATAGACTGAGACACAGCTATGAACCGTTTTAGAGCAGTACCAAAGTAAAACAATTCATCACATAAAATATATATATTTTTTTCTTTTTTTATAAAAAAATATGAAGTGCTTTCTGAGATATAATATAATATAATATTAAGCTTAGTCCCAATAAAGTTTACAATAAAGAAAGAAATGGACAGAATGTTATCCATGAAAAAGAAATAAAAGTGCACATGCAGACACTACTGCTACTTCTTTAACCCTTTGCACAGCAAGGACAGTCCATGTATGCTGAGAGAGAGGACGAACAAGTGAACTCCTGCTTCGCTGCCTGTCTCCACCCACAGCCTGTGGGTGTCTCTCCTCAGCGTCACACTGGCGGAGCTGAGCAGCCTTTCTGCCAGCTGGAAGGCCTGGTTTTCCTGCAGCAGGACTGGGAGACACTGGATGGAGAGGGGCTCGCGGCTCTCCTTAAACATACACATCTTGCGAGACAGATGGATAGATTGATGAATGGATAAATCATTCTTTATTGCAAATAAATGCCTTAAAGATTTAAATCTTACATTTCTTAAGGGATATTTGAACATTTTGGAAAATATGCTTATTTGCTTTCTTACTGAGAGTGAGATTAGAAGATTAGTATTTCTCTCATTTCTCGTCTGTACATTAAATATGAAGCTATAGCCAGCAGTCTGTTAGCCTTCAGTAGCTTAGCATAAAGACTGAAAACAGGGGGGGAAAGCTGGCCTGATTGGGATTATGCACTCAAGGAAGTCAGTTATTTATTGAGCTTTAGAGATGCTGGTTGGTGGACATTTTTTTCTTTTGGACAGAGACAGGCTTGCTTATTCCTCCTTTATGATAAGCTAAGCTAACATAAAAGTGGTAACAATCTTCTCATCTAACTCTCAGCAAGAAATCTAATCAGCGTTTTTTTTCCCAAAATGTTCCAAACTATTTCTTTAAAACATTTTCTTCAAACAAAATATTATCTGGCCTCAAATAAATGAGTCATAAAAGTACTTTCAACTTGTGCAGTAAATGAAATAAGTTAACAAACCAATTTGTCAAAGGCCTCCAGAAAATCAGGACAGCTCTCGCTCAAGAGGCTCAGAGTTTTATCAGGCAGCTCTAAAAAAGAAACAACAACACACACATAGAAGATGCAACAATGTTAAACTGCGGGAAACCTTTTCTTGAACACTACCTTGTTTGGCTTAAAGCACTGTGGAAAATGTTGGCTTGAGATCGTCCTTACCTTCCAAGGCACTGACCAACAGGTGAGCTGCATTCAGGTGAGCAGGGACACCACACTGGCCATTCTCAGTGGCACAGTCTGTGGCGGGTTGGTCCAGTATGGCTGACACTAATTTCCTCTGACCCTCCGACAGCTCCTCGTGCCTGGCCATATCGAATCTTTCACCACCACACAACTCGTCCAGCTAACAGAGAGGATGGGGAAATGGAGAAATAAAAAAAAATGTCAAGAAGGAGGAATATCAGCTTCAATATACTGTAAAGAAATAAACTGTGTCTGTGTATCTGGGCATTGGGGTCATGTCATTGTGTCACTCACCACACACTGCAGATATGACAGAACAATTCTGTGACTCAGAGTCTCCTGGAGTCCCTTGAACAAGGCACATCGAGTGGACTCAGGGAGCGTTGCCAGAGGAAAAAGGTCCATCTCCTGCGATCCTGTAAGAGACCAGAAGATACTGCCTCAGTTTTTAAACTGAAACTACACCAACATACAGAATTTAAAATTAAAATTTTATTTTAATTTGGCATATAAATATTTGTAGAACCATTTGTTTTTTGAAATTCCACAAGGTTTCACTACCAACAATAGTTACCAAGTTTTTGTAGGCATTTTTGCCTAGACATTAGGTAGATAGGTGTGGGTGGTGCTACAGCAATATAATGAATTTAAATGGACATCACAAGTCTGTCCTTACACCTTTCCTGTACAATGCCCTACTTATTGTCGTATCTTATTCGTCCAATTTATTTTTTCATCACCATGTTCACCAAATCCAGACTCAGATTAACTAACTTCTAAACATTTTAAAATAATTTAGAGGATTGTGGAACCATTTTTGACTCTTTACTTTTTACAGCCAGTTAGTTGGACAGGGTTGTACCATACAGTCATTTGGAAATCTGAGAGAGAGGAAAGCTTACTATAGTATCTATTACTGTGATTATATATAGGCTAAATATATCACATTGAGCATTATACCTTAGTATTGTATATTATAGTTCCAGTTTTTGCAACTGTGGATGCAGTTCATTGACTTTATGCCATTTGTGTGTGAAAGAAAAGGGAACCATGTCTGATTCATCTCCTTTCACTACCAAGTGTTACTTCCATATTTCCTCACAAAAAGCTGTAAAAAAAACCAACTTGTAAATCTTGAAATTAATAACTTACGTATTTCCCATTAATAAGTAATGATTGAATGGACACAAACCATTTTGCTGTACGCTTGAAGGTACTTCCTCTGGAGCCTTCCCGTTGCACTTGCCGTCCACCATATTCAAGGAATCATAGGATGGCCATGACAGTACAGTTGAGTCTGACTCAATGCCTCCTATTGTGCCAGGCTGTAGGCATATATCTAAAATTTCGCAAAACATCATAGATTAACACACAGAGGAGGAAACGCAGGTACAGTAAAAACAACAGAAAAAAACACAAGCATATTAGCGCATACAGTCTAACCTGAACATCAGCTGGTAGGATGTTACAAAGTATTAACTAATTCCTATTACAACTATGTGAGAATGTTTCCCTGGCCTAACCGTCTGTTTTACTTCTCTGTTTCATGTGATGTTATCTGGTATGTCCACATGATAATCCAGTGGTTTCAAACTGAGATCTGGGGGCCAACAGGGGGGCAAAAGGAGGAATAGAATATTTGAACGTTTATCACATTTTTTAAAAGTTGGAACAAGGAAAGAAACACACTTACCATAGTGTCCATTCTTTTTAATCTCCAGTTCCAGGATGCTGTACGCAATAACTGTACCAGACGGGATCTCCAAGGAAACATCAGAGTCCACCTCAATGTTGTTGCTGTCCTTCACGCAAACCTGAGAATACACGTGTGATTTAAAATATGATCATCTAAAATCTGACAGAAATTAATTATTATTAGATTAAAGACCTGCCATTTGTACTGCAATTAGTAAGTAATAGTAAAATAAGTAACAATTTTCCTCCACTAATAACAACTTTAATAATGACTGTATCTGATTAAAAAGTTACCTGAGACTTAATCAAGAAATGAAAATAGCAAAAGAGTGAATTATTAATTGATTTGACCAGAAATGGTCACCACACACACTCAAGCCCGGCCCACACAAACCTTAACAGAGCTCCCCAGCATGCCCAGTATTCCGAGCACCCCCTGGAAGGTGCACTGCTCCTTTTTCGTCTGGGTGACGGAGCAGGAGCTGGTGGTGAGGATCCTCTCCTTCACCACTGCCAGAACCTCGGCTCGCTTCTCCAGCTGCTGCACCAGCTTGTGCTCCATGTCCACGTGCCTGATGCAAAGAAACTAGTTTTTTAATCTACACTGGCAACGTGTGTAGCATTTAGGGATTCATTATCAGGATTCGAAACAGACACATGACAAATCCAGTGAAGTATATTTAAGTAAGACGACACTATTGCTCTGTGGTTAAGCCTCTGCATGGCACTGGTCTGAGGTGTCACATGTCTGATGTCTAACTACATTTCTAGTGTTCGTCTCATCAATAATGAACTCATCGTCCTGTCGCCATCTGTTGACTGGCTGAAAAGTGCAAACAGTATAAAAAGGAATTATTTAACACCTGTCGCTGGAGTCACGTAGCAGCTTCTTCACGTCCAGTTCTTCTTTCTTCAGCTTGCCAAAACAGGACTGGAGCTTGGAGGAGCCCCGCCCCTCTAGCGTGACGCTGACAGAGCCAGCCTCGGTGTCCAGCTTCCCAGAGAGGTTGTCTCCAAAAGTCCCTGTATACGTCAGGAATTCTGTCTCTGACACTCCTGGCAAGACATGTGGTGTTTGCATATACATATGGATGTGTTAGTAATGTATTTTGCACTTGTGTCTTACAAAAAGGTAGCTTGCAAGGAAAAAAAGCATTTTATTCATGCAGCTTGAGCAATTTCTATTCACTTTGTATGAATTTCACACAAACAGTATTAGTAGTGTACTTGCATGCCTACATACCAGGACTGAGCACCTTGTCCCCCTGCAACAAGTCGCTTAGAGTGAAAACCGTTGGTTGGTACTTGGGCCTCTGCCAGAACCAGATGCGGTTGCGTTTGACGACCAGTGCCATGGGAACCAGTTTGTGTGAGTCATTTACTCTGGACACGTGGATGAGGCTTCCTTCGGGGTCAATCTGGCGGACGAAGTTGGCAGTGGCTTTGGAAAACATGGCTGCAGCAGACGAGAACTGCAGGCAGCTGGGGAAGAGAGAGACTTTTAAGGATTCAATTTGACCTTATTTTGTCCACTGGAAGGCACTGAGAGCAAAGGAAAGAGCCACTGTGCGCTTTTACTCAACCAGTAAACACCTGAGGGGGATTTCTTCAGTTTGTTTGGTAGTGTCCCGAGTTTTCCCCTCTTGATAAACCTTATGTTGGAGAAGTCCCGATAAAGCCAAGCAAACACTGTGTGGGTGTTTGTGACTACAATGTAACCCCCTACAACTCGAAGTCCTGCAATCAACAGAAGGCAATGACTCACAAGGCTCGAGGGAAGTCCCCTGCTTCTAGTTAACATATTAGTGTCCACACGTGCACACGCACATGCACATACACACACTAACTCTGACCCCAGCGTGAGGGGGGTTTGTGCAGCGAGGGAAGGTAGGGAGAGAGAACAGGACAAAGTTTGAGTCTGTTCGTTTGAGGAATGTTAAAGTTAAACATCAGAACACAACGTTGGCTGGGGGACAGAAAATATGGAGGAGCCAGACAGGGGAAAAGAATAGAAAACAGGAGAGAGCTCAGAGAGACCTCTGAATGAAATCGCCACCAACTTCTCACTCGTATGAACACAAACTCCCCTCGACTTGACTTGGCCTCAGTGTGTGGAGTCATTTGATCTGAATTATTTAAGAGTTGTGGTAACGTCAGTGGGAACCTTTCTGTAACTCCAATTCCCATGGAAACGAATGATAATATGAAGAACCTAATGTAATGGTAGAGATAATGGTATCTTTAATACATTCATTGGCTGATCACCACAAACCCCAAACAACACTATCCAAAAAACGTATTCAACTTAGTATTATCCATTTTTTATTTATAAAAGGTCTGTAGTAGAAAAAGCTGAAAGAAGAGTATAATAGACTTATAAAGATCAATATATTTCAGTGGGTGGGTTATGCCCCCTACAGCATTCCTGTGTGTATATACAAATTATACGCAACGACACACACACTTACACACACGTGTGCCAGCGCGCGTGCGTATTTCCGGGCAGTCCACTTCTTCTAATGTAACCAAGCTGCAATGGCTGAGAGCTTGAACAGTGACATCAACGGCTACGCATGATTCGGATTATGAATATAAAATCAGAGAAATTCAGTGGAGAAAATATTGTTCTCACAGGAAAGTCATAACAAACCGACCACACTGGTGATCGCAAGTAGACAAGACTGAGTGGAGAGATTTCCATCTCCCCAAAAAACACAGATAATTAATATAAATAAAGTTGATGGAATGCTTACCTCAAATTATCTTAAAAACAACCCTCCAAGTTCAGGATTTGGCGTCGTACTTTAAGAGTCCGTTCAGTTGTCACTCCAGGAATGTCACCGATGTTGCCATGCGTAAAAGTAGACCAAAGGTGTCCAAACGGACAGAAATAGTCCTGTCTCTGGACGCAACGGTGAACACTTCCCTCGCAGTGTTAATACAAAACTTATACAGGCAGAAAGTAAAGCGACGGGAACTGGAAAAGAAATCACTGATGGCAGCAAGGTCAGAGCTCTGGCTGGATGGGAGGAGGAGGCTCGACTGTACAGTTATCTGCTTCACGGCGCAGGATAGACCCAGCTTCCTCCTCCCACTTCAAGGAGAGTTAATTCTGATCATATGAACTCTGGTATTTTTTGGTGTTTATGCGTGGTTGTGTGTGTGTTTCAGGACATGAGCAGACTTGCCTCTTTCTTTTTTACCCCAGATTTAAATGCTGTCAAACCGTGCCTGATTCATTCATTCATAGAATTTTGCTGCACATTTGCACAATGTGGTTTGTAAGTAGGCTAGTGGAAGTAGTTTAGTTACCTCCAGCTACACCACATCCATCGTAGGAATAACACCTGCGCGTCTTATTAAACGATTTTAGACTTTCATCTCTAAAAAATTACAAAGAAAACTCCACTTTGCCACAGGGATGTAAGATTATTTAACTTCACATCAAACAAATAGCTCACAAACCAGCAAAATCACTATTTCCATTCATTCATCAATCATGCTTATAATGCAGTCAATGAGTCTATCCGAGTTCTTAAAATGGGTGGCAATCCCCTTTATGACAAAGGAAACCACATTCTGTGTCAGTCTGTGTTGTTGGTGCCAGTACATGTACATGTGTGGGTGTTTAGATTTAAAGTGAAATGATATAAGGACTGAGGTTACGAATGTGCATATGTGTGAATGTGTGGGTGTATTGCGGTTTGGGACATGCTTGCCAGTGGTGATAAGTAGTAACTCTGTGAAGGCTGACAGGGAGTTGCCACAGATGTAGAGATAAGGGTCCTCTGTAAATTTCTAGATCTCCAACTTTACAAGGAATTCAATTGTAGGCACTTTTTACCTAACGGGGGAATCAGTATTGAGTCAGTGTCAGTCATGATTGAAAATCTGTTTATTCAACATAAAACATACTGGAGTGCATTTGATTTCAATGTCAGCCATCAAGTAGATTCAGTATTACTGCCTGATGAGTTTTATTTTGTTTCTTTCCCATTGTTTTGGTCTGAGATGCTGTTGCTATAGTGCAACATCCCGTGACAGGTACATTTTATATATATATATATAACCTTTAAATACAGATTAATTGAAATACTGCCAATCTTTGCCTGCAGTTGTCTCCTATGCTCGGCAACCAATCAATAGGACAAATGACAACCAGTGATTGTGACAGCTAAACAACTAAACTAAACTTCTACAAGATACAACAGTTGAGGCAGAAATTCTATGATTTAGTTCTAAATTTTTAATTTGGAGCTTCATGTCTTTGGAGTGTGGGAGGAAACCGAAGCGTACGGAGGAAACCCACTCAAACACGGGGAGGAACATGCTGACTCCACACAGAAAGAACACAGTCGTTCGTTTTAGGTCTATCTGTGAGGCTAACCACTGAGCCACCGTGCCGCCCTGTGGTAAATGGCTACACACACACACACACACACACACACACACACACACACACACACAGACACACACACACACACAGGCCAAAAGCTTCAGCCCTATTAGCCCAGCCCCAGCCAGCCCAACAAATTCTATGAAACACAATGAAAGGAGAGGTTAAAAATCTCTCTGATGCACATGCTCACTAATACTCTACATGCAACAACCTCACCATTCATTATGCCCATAGAGTGTGTGTGTGTGTGTGTGTGTGTGTGTGTGTGTGTGTGTGTGTGTGTGTGTGTGTGTGTGTGTGTGCGTGCGTCTGCGTGTGTTTGCGTATATCAGAGATAGTATGTCCCAAGCTGCGTTGGGCTCAGGCCGAAAAATGGCAGACTTTGTTGGGCTGGGGCTGGGAGCAATTTGGGATTTAGCGTCTTGCTCAAGGACTTGGACACATGGATAGGAGGAGGTAGGGGTTAAACTCAAATCAACTAACCATGTGTTCCCCTGAAGTCCATTCAGGAGCCACTGTTGGAAGTGGACTCCTGTTGCTTGTCCTTCTTTTTCTTTCTCAAACCAAGGAAGTGGCCAAATCTTTTCCAGAAAGGAGTCTTACCTTTCTCTACAGCCTTCTCCTCACAGACCGCAGCCTCTTCCATAAGTGCTGGGTCCTCAGAAACAGCAGGGGTCTCCTCTTCCACAAGTGCCGGGTCCTGAGAAACAGTAGGGGTCTCCTCTTCCTGTGGGCACACCTGGTCCATCGGCTCTTCCATGAGTTGGACGGTTTCTATGCGTAGGATCAGACTGGCTTTTTCCTCTTCCTTGAGCTCAGCAACAAGCTCAACGTTTTTTGAGATCTGTTCATTGAGTTGGATTTTCAGATCTTCCAGCTCCATGTGCAGAGACCTTTCCCTCTCAGAGGCCTCTTGCAGGAGTTTGGTCTCCTGTTCCATATTCTGATGAAAGGCGTCCAGTTCTTGCTTCATACCCCGAACCAGCTCCACTTGTGAGGACCCTCGGGTGACATAAGACTTTACTGTCTTTATTTTCTGCTGAAGGGTGACGTTCTCCAGTTGTTGTGCTTTCATGTCTCTGTTATACCTTCTCTGGATCTCATTGTGTACATGAGAGATATCACAATAAGCCTGGCGGAGTTCACCGTATGAAACAGTGAGCTTCTCGAGCTCTGTCTGTGTTTCCTTCTCCTTATCCACCAACAACTCTTCACGCATCTTTTGTTGAACCAACTGTCTTTGCATTTCCTCCAGTTGTTGGCTAAGCTTGATCCTTAGAGTGGACTGCTCATAACCTTTGGTTTTTTCTTTCTGGGACAGATCTTTTAGCTGCTTTATCATTTCCTTCTCTTCATGGAGCTCATTGGTCAAAAGCTCAACCTGGTCCCAGAGAGATTGGTTGTCTTTAGTCTCTGATTTCAGGCTGGTGGAGAGCTCATCAACCCTCTGGTCCTGACAGGCACTGTGTTCCCTTTCTCTTTGGAGCTGAGTTTTCAGCTCCTCTATCTGTTTGATAAAGACATCCTTTTCTACTGTGTCGTAATAGCTGGAAATCAGACCCCTGGTCCAGGTGTACGGGCCCAGAACTGCACGAGTCAGTCTGAAAGCCATAGTGTATCACTGTCTGAAGTTGTAGTCTGTCTCCTAACTATGTTTCAACCCGTTGAAACGTCTTGAATGAAATTACTTTGTCTACACACTTACACTTATGAAAGTATAAAGACCTGCTGATGACATCACAAATGGAATCAAAGGACTTGTTGCCCCGCCCCCCTCTCCCCCTTAGTTACCATTGCTATGTGTTCCATTCTAATGCATATGTCCTTAAACATTTAGATTTATTTAAATAATAACATGTTAAAAAAAGCCAGAAATCAATTTGATAATCCGTTATGGCCACATTTTAGATTAAGGGATTAAGTAATTGTAATTAAACAAGTAATTGAAAATATGTACATTTATTGACTTCTAATACCTTTAGATATTTTATTCAATGCTTTTCTAATGTGCCACAACAATGTAATGTTTTTTAGTTAAAATGTTGTAATTTGGGGGCATTTCCAAGTAAATATTGATATATGTAATTGTGATAAATCTTCATATTATGCTGCCACCTCTTAAAGTCTCCACGCCACCCTTTTGCCACCCTGTGAATATTTCTCTCGTCCACCCCTGTGTGAGGGTTCAGATTTAAAGTCAAATTATGTGAGGAGCGGGGTCAAAATGTGTGTCTGTGTGAGCGGGTGGGTGTTCTGTATTGTGACTTGTGACATGCTTGCCAGCGGTGATAAGTAGTAACTTTGTAAAGGCCGACAGGGAGTGGTCACTCGGAGAGATAAGGGTCCTCTGTCCCCCTGAGGTATGGATGCACCGAGATGCACAAACTTCATATAGTCTTAGCCGGTGCCAAAGCGCACATTACCAAAGAAAAGGTACTCATTATGCACAATGCCCCCTTCCAAGGAGTTTTTATCTATATTACTTATTATTATTATTATTTGTGTATTAAAATTTACCTAACATTTATTTAATGTTGTTGCTGGTTGAGGTGGAATTAACTTGAACCACTAAAATACAGGGGATCTTTAAATATATAACAATTAATTTTAATATTTAAGCGGCTCATTTGTTTTAAGGGTCAAATCTTAACCTGCAAAGTAACCAGGAATTTAGCTGTCAAATAAATGTTGATGAGTACAAAGAACAATATTACCTGCTGAACTGTAGTGAAACACAAGTATAAAAAAAACATAGAATATAAAAGTCCCTTTAAAATTGTGTTTGTATAACAGGTGTTGTTTGCTGTTCAAAATGAATACAGCCTTATTAAATTGTGGGTAACTATACAGAGTCTGCCATGGTGAACCGCCATAATAACAAACTGGACTGGACTGACAACACCCATGCTCTCCACAAGAAGGGCCAGATTCGCTTCCACCTGCTGAGGAGACTTAGGTCCTTCGGAGTAAGCAGGGCTCTCCTTAAGACTTTATATGACTCTGTGGTTGCTTCAGCCATCTTCTATGCTGTGGTCTGCTGGAGAGGGGGCAGTACGGACAGGGATAGGAAGAGACTCAATAAACTGATCAGGAGAGCGAGCTCTGTCCTGGACTGTTCTCTGGACTCCATTGAGGAAGTGGGTGAAAGGAGGATGTTAGTGAAACTGACATCCATCACGGATAACAGCTCTCACCCTCTACATGACACTGTGGGGTCCCTGAGTAGCTCCTTCAGCAGCAGACTTTTACACCCACGGTGTAAGAAGGAGAGGTTCCGAAGGTCTTTCATCCCTGCCGCTGTCAGACTCAACACCTGATCAATGTTGTAGTTTCTGTTTTTCAAATTACCATTGTGGTATACAGCTTTACCACTTTACCTTTTTTTTCTAATATCTGTATTGATTTATTTCACGTAAAACGCTGCTGTGACAAGGGAATGTCCCCGTTGTGGGATTAACAAAGTAATACAATAACAATAATGTTTCTACAGAATGGACCAATCAAACACAGTAGGTCTTCTGTATTTTTCGCAGTGTGGTTTCTCCTGCATGCTTGGAAAGCTGAGCTGTATCCAAATGGTTGCAACTTCACTAAATCCTACATACTGGTCATTTAACGGGTTAAGTAGTAAAGGTAGTAAAGTGT